ATAAATCTCTGTATGAAACTGCGGGTTGTGCAGGGCCATTCATAGATGCAGAGCTGCTGTAAGTTCATGTTTTCATTGTTTCCTGTGTAATAAATATCCTGACTTATTCTACACTATTTTAATTCTGAAACGTAACCTTCTTCCTTGACCTATGACTGTAAGGTTAAATGCTCGAACGTGTGGTATGTTTTATGAGAGGTTTTATTTTTCTATAATGCTGCCAGATTGGTGCTTTGTAAACCGTAACTCTAGCCAGCTTTCTGCTTTCCTCATCACCCACGCTACAGATCATCAGTCTGTGCTAGGGCTGTGACCCAGAGCTTGGCTAGGAAGACTTTTTTGGGAATCTAGGGTTTTACTGATTGTGAAGAAAATTTCAGCTGCTCTTTGATGGATTAACAGGGCCACTTTGTTGCCTTTTGATTTCAAGGTCAGAAAATGCCAAGCTGGTTTTGCGTCTTCGGATTAGGATGCTTCCTGATAAAAGCTTTTAGTCATGTACAGTGCAACTGTGACTCCCTGGAAGTCGATGGGGTTTTTGCCGCTTATTTTGATGAGGTCAGGATTTCAGCCATGCATTGTCTTTTGTGTTGCAATTTTACTTGCTTTTAAAATTATTTATGAATACTTTTTTTTGGTACCAGATGGGTTTCCAGAAGTGTTTTTTTACAGTTGTCAAATATTCACAGTAATGCAGCTATGTATATCACAATGGCAATGTCTATGAGGCTTGTTATATTTCACATTACAGTTCTTAATGCTTAACGTTTGTATACAGTTTCTATCACACATAATCCATAATAGCACTTAAAACTGTTGAAGTTTGTGATATACTGTTCTTTTCCTGTCTGTTTTCTTATATTACAGTGAGTACTCAGGATGGTTATTGAGTACCTCTGTGATGAATCCATGTGCAAATTAAGAATGAAATTTGAAGACAGGCAGGGGAAATGTTCTAGATCTTGTCTGTCTGAACTTGCTACTTGGTATGCTGTCTCAGAGGAATTGATCTGCGACAAGAGGAGGCTAAAAGAACATGGCTTGTTTAGCCTAGCAAAATGAAGGTTAAAAGGAGTATGATTACTCTCTGTAACTACATTATGAAGGTAAATGCAGTCAGGGAAAAGAATTATGCAGACTGAAAGGCGCTGTTGGCGCTAGGGCAAATAGATATAAACTGGCAAGGTGGAAATTTATGCTGGAAATTAGAAGATTCTTAATGCTTTGAGAATAAAGTTCTGGATCAACCTTCTGAAACGAGCAGTAGGAACAAACAAGCAAATTAGCTTTCGGGTAAGCTTGCTAAGCAGATGAGAAATGTGAGTTGGTGCCTGTGATAACAGTGGATGGGACTTCATCCACTGTACTCCTCTGTTGCGTGGATAAGTTAGGAGTAAGGGGCTGACCAGCTTCCATCCAATTAAATGTGTGCCATCTCAAATGTTAACCTGCTGAAACTGCTTCTAAGCTGCTATTATCAAACCTGTAATTATATGATGAAAAGAAAATTGCGTTCTATACTGAACTCTTTGACCATTTGCCTCAATTCATTACCTTTCCTGTACCCCGTTTATTTCTTCCACAGTTAATGGTGATATAAGGGAAGTTGTATAAGAAGAACTTTTTTAGATGAAAGAAAAGTTCTTCCAGAGTAGCACGTGCTTGTTCCTGACTAATTCAAAGACTTCCTGTAGCCTTTTTTTTTCTTGGAAATGTTGAGTGTTTTCTAACGTTTAAAATCATGGTATAGGGGCAGCTCCTTCCACTGGTGTTTTCATCTAGTCAGTAAAATGCATTAGTTACGGATTCACTGCTGTGATCGGTACAGGCTAACTTGGCATGTCAGGTATTGCTGGTAGTGAAATGAATATACCCTCTGTGCCCCTGACCCTCCTGTTGTGGGAGGCTGGGTTAACACACGAGAGACTGGAGTCTCCCTTTGTGGGAACGTGGCAGCCCTTAGTCTAAATATGGAAGCCACTTAATAGCTCTTGTACAATCCTAATTCTGACAATATGCCAGATAATTAATTTTAGTAATTGTTGTTAACCTTTGTCAGATTTTTACAAATTTGTAAAACTGTTTTGTGTTAAAAGTATGCAAGGGTTAGCAAATTACAGTTACAAGTAAAAATACTTCACATTTCAGCTTCAGTTTCAAGTAGCTTGAGAAGAAGTATTTCTATTTGAAACTTTATTTTGAAAATTTACCATCAGTTACTGTACAAAGTACTTTTCAGAAACTAAGCTGAATCTAATCTATACTTAAGTATTAGCACCAGAAAATAACTTCCCTTGTTTATATGTGCATCTTTGGTAGGTAGCCTTTAAGGCTAGTGCACAGTATCATTAATGAAATGGGTGAATGAAAGTAAAATGGTAATTGATGAAATCACTGTGTTCTTTATCACTGTGGTATATGGGAATCCTAGCATGTATCCCATTTCTTCCAGATACTGGTTTATATATACCTGGTGATAGTATGCATACATTGTGCTAAGCGGTGTGTGCGCGCAGTAAAAACAACGCATATCCCAAAGAGCTCATAGTCTAAGTAGACCAGAGGCAACAGTTGGGTACAAGGGGGCAATAAAATCACGGCAGGAGAATAAGACTTACTGGTCAGCCTAGTAGAGAGTAGCTGTAGTACAGCAGCAGTGTAGTCGTCACAGTGTCTGTAGGCGTTATGCCAGAGGAGTTTTAAGAAGGGAACTGAAGCAAGATAATAAACTCTAAAGACTAAGACCCTAACTCAAAGCCTACTTAAATGAATAGGATTATTTCCAGTGATGTCAGGAGGTGTTAGATCAAATCCTCTAACATTATTTCTGCAAAGGGAATTTTATAATCAAAATCTCTATAGGGTTTTAACTGTTCAGAAATAAGCATATTGAATTATACACAAGTATTCTAGGCATTATATGTTTTTAACCTGAGTAATCCTGTTACCTGTTTAATAATTCTGGTGGTTGACACAGCGTGATTTTTTTTTTTTTTTTTTAATTTCTTTTGGCCTTATTTTTCAGAGCTGCCAATATTCATAATTACCAGAGAAATAAACAAAAATTGAAAGTCATTTTACACATTAATGATTAATTTGATCATTTCAGAAATACACTTTTTTATTTTTAGCAAAACAGGATTTGCATTGGAAAGTATATGGAAATATTTATTAGTTGTCTTCTAAAGAGTTCATTACAAAGATGGCATTTCAAGTGTGCTGTATCTGCATGCTAAAATGTGTACACTATAAAATCACAATGTAAGATTAAGCAAATAATTTATTTTGTACGTTTGCTTAGACTTCCGAGTATGTCTCAAAGATGAACACAAATGCAGGCTTACAGGTTATTACATACGCTGAGCTATTGCTTGTATTGCAACTAGGGAACTTCCTTGCAGGAGGGCAAAGTTGTCAGCTTGAGCAGATAATTGTATGAAGCGTTGCTTCTATTCCCCACTCGATAGATGCAACGTGTGTTGACACTGAATCAGTATTTGAAAGTAGGAGAGCCTTAGTAAGTTGATAAATAAAGCAAGGTCTGGTATTTTGCCGGAGTGGAGTAATGGCTTTCTAATAATTAGGTGCCTATATTAAGTATGCTAGATACCTTGAAGAAATAGTAAAAATTATTGTGGTGTCTGGACTGAGTAACATACAGAGCTGGTATTATTTTGTTTAATGTTTCATCAGCATTTTGGATTAGTATTTATTCTTAACTACTGAGAATAATTGTTGTCGCTGACTGCTTTCATCACCTCCTCTAAGTTGTGTGAAACATGAATATTTGTATTTTCTGCTGCCTGTATTATAGTAGTAATCTTGCAGTAGAAGCAGAAAGTTTCTTGTAGGCCTGCTGATCCTTTGTGCTGGAAGTAGTTTGACCATGTCTGTGCAGCAGCAAACCAGTTAAATGTGGCAGCTACCTTGATTTGGTGTTCTTTCACTATTATTTCTTTTGAATTCTTACAAAAGCTTGTTTAGCAAAAACTGTGATGAAAACTATAGAATGGACATGCTCAATTAGTAATAGCAACCTTTATTATCCCAAATGCAGTTAAAAATGAGAAAATTATTACACAAAGTGTGAAAGAGAGAGAGAGGGAGAGTGACTAAAAATATAAAGAGTAAAAAATGCTTTTTAAAGAGCTTTTAAGTCTTTACTACGTTTATTAGGTAGTGGTGGTACTTCACTTCATTTTAAGTGTTTCTGTAATGCTGCAGCACGCAGTGTTAGTCTAATAAGCGAGTTGTGCATAGTAATTCCAGTGCTTTTTAAAAATACTATTATATTTATCAGAGTACTGAGTTAGGGTACCCATTTTCTCTTCCTCCCCCTGCTGTATTTGGTAAGTACTGAGCAGGACTCCTCAACTCTAGTAGTGATTTAGTTCTTTGTATAGGCAGTAAGAATAATCTTTGAGGGGAAATATTGTGTGTCTCAGGAGGTGGATTGCTCCCTTTAAATTAAAAAAAAGGGAAGGGGGCATTGTTCAGGTGTCTAGATTCAGCCAGTATTGGTGTGGAAGGACCAGAGTGCAACCAGAGTTCTTGTCTTGAAAATGAAACGTTGAACTTCATCCTGGCTTACTGTGTAGATCCAAAAATATTGTCAAAAACTGAAAATGAAAAACCGTCTTATAAGAAGCCAAGAAGGATCATCACCCTTATTCTCTTGGACATATTCACGTTAGTGGTAGGCTTTAGGGTAATACTAATCTAAACCTGAGGAAATTCTCCGTGTTGGTGTCTTTAATATTAGTTTATCACAATTTTTTGCCTTGAATTACAAAGATATCCTTGAGATTTGAACGTTTTACAGAGCCACTGCTGAGTATGCATATAGACGGATGAAACCCCACAGTAATGAAATCAACTAGTGCCCCGAGAAGACGATAGGGAAGGACAAAGCAGATGGCAAAAATTATTATTTTTTTTCTATTAGATTGTACATGATATTTCATTAACTAAAAATATATGCTTTTTTTTTTTTTGCTTAGGTTTACCAAAAATGCAAGTCATTCGAAACTACGATGGAATACCACAGCCAGCTCCACAGGATGGCCCACCATTGCACATCCAGATTGGGGACACTGTTGAACTCATCCGAGCTGATGCACATAGCTTGTTTTGGCAGGTACCGTACGGTTTAGCAAATGGCCATATTACATTTGTCCTAGCTATTAAATTCTTATTTATTGCTGTTGTAACTTTTTTCATATTGAACAACAACAAAAAACCTTTGTGTTTTACCCAAAATAAATGACTAATACAACTATTCTCACTTTTCAAGTGCCAGCAGTCCCCATATCGTGTAAAGCCTCAATCTTGCAACCCTATTCAGAGTGAAAGTCCTAGTGAATAAAACTGGTGAATACAAGAACATGGCATTGGTAGCAATCCTCCGATTGAAATTACAGGAGTAAAGTAGAAGTGTTAGTAATAGATTTAAATCTTAAGGGAAATTGTCATTTCCATTAGTATCATTCAGGCAACTTTTTTCTCACGAGTTGTCTCGTCACAGACCACTCAATATGGGTTTTCATGTGTCTTGTAATGACATCTGTGTTTTAAAATGCATATTAAGAAATAACTGCAAAACACAGACTTTTATTAATATCTATAACATTTATTCAAGAGGGGTTTTAGAGTAATTTATGGCTGACCAGAAGGAGAATAATGTTAGAATGGACTTTTAAATTGACCATCTCTCAGTTTAGAAGTTCAAATGCTTGTAATGTATGAACATATTTGTAGTTTAAAGATATTTTTCATTCTTTATAGCACATCAATTAAACACCACAAAGTATCAAGCAATGCTTACCTTAAATAGCTTAAGTCTGATAAATGTGCTTAGATAAACATTATAATTCTGGTAAGTTAATGTTTGTATGACTGGTTGCATAGAAATTATTATGCTGAATTCTGTATTGACTGCATACACATATAAATCCACTTGCTATGCGGTTAAGAAAACAGAAGTATGGGTTCTGTTTTGGTGTATTCTCCCCATCCCTGCATGCCCCTTAGACAGCAAATATTGTTCAGAGAGGCAAACTTGACAAAGCACAGAGTAAGGTGGCTGGAATAAGCACTTCTGTATTCCCTGAACTTACTTCCTGTCTCACCTAGTATCACCCAAAACCTAAGCTTTCTTCAAAGAGAATGTGGAAAATAGGGGGCTTGGTACTGCCACAAGTTAGCCTACAGTTTTCAGGAAATACCTAGCTGCATATAAAAGGAGGATATTTGTACATCCCCTTTGCCTGACTGCTTTTCTTGGCTCAGTCAGGGTGCAGGAGAAGAGCCAGGCTGCTTGCCTGGGTGTTGCCTGTCTGCTGTCACTTACAGAATTGATTGAATAAGAAAGGGAGGAGGGAGAGGGAAAACTTCATATTTTAAATGGAAATTTCAGACCCTGATCCAGAGCACTACTGGTTGCTTCAGCTGCAATAGTGCACCTTTGAAGTAGCCTGATTTTTATTATAGATGGGAATATTTTTTCTGCTCTGCTGAGTTTGGTCTGAGTAAATTGGTACTTACTTAACCTAAGGGCAGGCTTTTGGGGTGCCATAATGCATACCATAAGATATAATGTAATTCTAGTTTTACAGGTTTCCATTGCAATTACCCACCGTCCTCCAGGCAATCATGTTCTTGAAGTATGCCAAAGGAGTACAGATGTTTGTTGAGCTGATTTTTTTTTTTCTTTCTCTAAACTAACTTTTCTTTGATACAGCTTAAACCCGTATTAAGTAATTGCTATTATATGTGTCATTGCTAATGCTTCAGTAGTTAGTGGTTCCAAAGTAAACATCCAAAAGGCATTAAGTATATTGTAAATATACTTAGGATATCAAATTGGAACTTGTGTTTGAGGAGAGAATTCGTTTTTTCTATGTTCCAGTGTAAAGACAACCTACTAGGGCAATGCAAAATGCTGTTGTGACAGGTTGCTGTGTGAGAAAAAGTTGCAGTGCATAGAGTGGCACTAGCATGAGATCATCTTGCCTTTTCCGTACAAATATTGAGCATAATACTGCTGATTTTGGAAGAATTTTGCAGAAATCTGGGAATTAATCTATGATGCCCTCTAACAGAAGGAAATCTGAATCTGATGTCTTTATGTAATTACCTCATGCACAATCCACAATATTTGTTTTAAGGCATTGCATACGGTCAGCTGATGTACCTAGAAAACATGATGGTTGTTGACTTTGATAAAATATTTCAGAAGCTCGTTATATAATTGATGGAAGGAGCTAAGCTTTTCGATGCAGTTCCAGATGAGCAGCTAAGAGCTAGCTATTAGGAGCTATTCTGCAGATGTGCTTGTCTGAGTGCGCAGAAGGCAGATTGGCTTTGCAGGCAAGTAGCTGTCAACTGGGAAAAGGGAGACCCGAAACATGGTTCCTATCTATACATTTTAAGATGTTGCAGTGGTTGAATTAAAAAAAAAAAAAATCCAAGGAAACAAGGATTGGAAGATTGAGAGATAATATAAGTTTGTGTCCTCAGGCTGAGGAGGGAATTAAGTAGGAGGGAAAGAGGAAGAGATTAGGTACTTCCTTGCCCAAATAAAACTGTGACAGTGAGTAAGGGCCTTCGTTTCCGCATCAGAAAACTCCAGTGTATATGGGAGCCTGAATTCCTGCCCTAAGAGATTTTGACACCTTCAGGATTGGGCAGATACTGGATTGCTCTTACAAATGCAGGTCCCTAAGCCCTCTGAGCACCCGAGTAGGTTGCATGGTTTTTCCTTTATTTACCATGTTTGCCTGCTCCGTAAATTTCCCATAAATGAGCAGCAGTTGGATGGATGTTGCTCAGCATCCTGTAGGACTTCTCTGCTTTGTCTTGAATTTAACTGAAAGGAATTCGATAGAGGTAAGCCTGAACAGGTCTGGAAACTGCTTTTGTTCTGGTTGGTTTGGTGATTTTTTCCATCGGTTATATGTTGCTGAGGCTAATGTTTCTAAAGGTTTTAAATGATTTTTAGCTACTTTCATTGAAAATATATAGCAGTAATTTTTCTGAATTTGTTATTAAAATTCTGTATGTTACAAGAATGTATTGAGAAAGTTTCTTGATGTTTAAACCTATTTCATTCATGCTGCACAGTTCATGAGTGATTATTTTACTGTGCAGCTCTGCAGGATGCGTCAGTTCATTAACAGGAGACCAGATCATTTGAATACTTTCAGATACAGTAATGTAAAGGCAGTATATTGGCTAAGATTTTCAGTGTCTGTTAAAGTGCTCCCAGTCTTTCAGGCAATTGAAAAATCTTCAAAGGTTTCTTAGAAAAGCCTTTTTCTCATTATTAATAGAAGTCTATTTGTTAATGAACCATAATTTTGGTACACTGCATGTGTATCATGTATTTGTAATCTGTCCTGCACAGCATTGCTCTCTTTGGCCGTGGGGGGACTTCAATGCTGGCTGTGCAACTGTCTCTTACATAAATACAGCGACTCACATAGGTATTCTGGCCCGGCTCCCTTTCCACTTGCAGGTGTCATTCCGCGTTCTGCATTGAGGGTTATTCAGGCCCTTAATAAACCTGGATCAGGCTGTATTCAGCATTCAAATGCTCTCTGATGTCCCTTGCAGCAGTCAGGACTTTTTCAGCAGAGAGGCTTGGTGGTTTTTTTTTTTCTTTTCTTTTTTTCCCCCCCCTTCTCTACTGTCAGTTAAGTAACTTTTAGGATTTATACACATGCATTCAGTATAGAATATTCCTGAACTGAGTCCCTCAATATGAGGTGGAGATGAGAGAGTCAAGGATGTAGATGCAATAATTTATGCAATGTATTTTTTTTTAGCTATGCTAGCACTCTGTTTGTATCCACTGAACTTAGTGGGAATTGCATTAGCTAAATAGCTGGCTGCAGTCTGAAAATTCAGAGCAAAACTGCAAAATGGTTTCAGAAAACCTCCATCATTAAAACAGGTACAAGACTAATGGGTTGGCCTCTGGACTTGCTGAAAGTGCAATTGAAAGAAATTGACTGAAGGGCTTCATTGGCCTCTATATATATGTATATCTGTGTGTGTGTGTATATATGTGTGTGTATATAAAATATGTATACATGTACACACATAAATGCACACTCATTTATATAATAGTACATAATATAGTGTGGCAATGTAATAATATATAGATAATATGCATTTTTAAAGCAATTCTGTCCAGTCCTTTGCTTCTGCTTTTATAATGACCTTAAGTCATTATAGGGACATGTTTGAGGGAAATGAAATGCTTACTCATCATATAATGAGCAATTAGCAAGCAGAAAAGGTAAAGGAGAAAGAACTGATTAGTCAAAGTGAGGTGGGGTGGCATGATAATTTTGCTGTTAATCAAGATTAGTTGATGGATAGATTTTCAATTCTGAGATCATCATTTGACAGCAGGTCACACAGTTTCATGTACGAATGACGCTGAGCCTTAATGAATTTAGCAACCTTTGCAAGTGAGCAATTTCCTTCAGCAATGTATAATAAATAAAAACCTGCTCTGTTTAGGGATTTGGATTGTTTTTGAAAAACAAAGATTAAATATCCACAGTTATCTAATGCAGGTAATGTTTCTCTTTAGAAGGCCAAGGCTTTCTTCGAGTTATCTCAGTGTTATAGTCATGTTACTGCTCAAAATGCAAAGACAGAGATTTGTGCTCGTCGCCGTATTTGGGGGATTGGTTCCCCATTGAAGGCAGTGACGTTTTGTGCAGGCAGTGACGTTTTGTGCAGCCTGCTCAAGAGAGAATCTGTCCCTGTGGTTTTTCTGTACTGCTGCTCTCCCTTTGGTCTTGGCATACTGTCCATATACATCACTCCCGGCCTCTCCTGGCCCAGCAGAGTGACACATCTGTGTCCCACAGCTGCCCTGAGGAGCATCTTCTGACAGGTGGTGACATCTAAGGAGACGGTGGGGTAGTTACTTGTGCAAATGTTCCGTGATAATATGAATTAGGAGACAGTGTTTCCTGTGCTGTACCTCATGCAAGGCTGTCCATTGATGTAGTTTTGTGCTGCTTTTCATTGCAGTGACTATTTAGTGCCATGACTCTCCAGCTGACTCTTTTTGCTGCAAGTGCCATCGACTTCTTACCTACTGAATACTTAGAGTGAGAGTGCACATACGTAGTAAAATACAGCATATGGATGACCAGTTTCCATACTTGGAATGTGTCTACGTTATAATGTCTGCACAGTGATAATGATTTAATTGGTGTGGAGCACAGCTAATCTCATGATCTTTGCTACTCTGCTGGGTTTTTCAGTGGTGATTCATGCCCCTGCGTGCTGCTAGCAGTACCTCAGCCGGGCAGTGTAACGCTGGATTTATATCCTGCTGTCTCTGGGCCTGGTGCTTCTGTACATGCTGCACTCCCCTCAGTGCCTGTAATGCAGGCATTTGATTTTTTTCTTGATGCCATAGAATGGCTCAGTTTGGTATAATGCTGTGCAGACTGACGCATGTCAGTGTTCGAAAGCTAGAACTTTCTTTGATTCTAGGCCTGGGTTGGGCAAATAACTTTCAGTAAAAAATAGTGAGAGCTACCCTGCAGGTGTTATTTCTAGATTGCTTTTCTGACCTGGTGGAGGCTGCGCTTTGAGATATATTTGAAGTGATGCCCCTCTTTGCACTGTCAGACGGTAACAAAAGGATCCGTCCCTGAGCTCATCAAGTTTTAATCCTTGGCTCCTTTCTAATTGTCATGGACGTATGTTGCCTGATGTGTCATCTTGTTCAGCTTCTCTTAATTTATATAAATGTTTCTCATGAATAGTGATTGTGTGTGGGCACGTACAAAGCTACTGATGTTTAATTGTGCTCCTTCAAATGTTCTTTCTCGTTAATACGTTTTATTCAGCGGTTAATCGCATTGCCTAGGTTGTGACTTGCTGTTCAGATAGGATTCAGTGTTGTAAAAAGGGTCATTTAGATGGGAGGCTGTCAGAGCTCTGCTTATAAATGAAGTCTGTAACTCAGAGGAATTCACACTGGGGGACTAAGCAATGAACGGACACGGTGTGCAACCTATATTTAGGTAGATGGTGAGAAAGAAGGAGAAACAAGCTTTGCTAACAAGGGTTCAGATGTACAAGACTGTCACTTGTTTGCATGAATTTCTTTTTTTAGTTTAGCCTATTATAGCTTAAACACCGCTTAAGTGCTTTGCTGTCTCCTCTCCTTCCTCTGCGCTCTTCTGTATATTTGGGAAAGATGGTGGTTTCCGGGGTTGTTACCTGTGTGTGATAAGTTGCATAATGGTCTCACTAGGAAAACAATGCACTCATTCATTGTGCATAGGGCATCACAGTCGAAGAATTTTCTCAATTGCTCATGAATCCTCATTAATTCTTCTTGCTTTTAACTTTTATATTCACCTCCACCCTATATGAAATTACTTAATTCTATTTTGTGTGGTGATATTAGGGTACAATTACACATTTAGTGTTAATAAATGAATTAAAACAAGAAATTACATGTCTGTTCTTGAAGCATTTTTTCTTTTGATATTTTTATGTTGCAGGTATGTGGTCAGAAATAAACGTCATTCTCAAGTTTACAGTGATAGTAAAATACTCTTACTGTCGTTGCCAAGTGTACTGATAGTGCATTAATGTTTACAGTCAGTCTGTTACGTTTAGTGGAAGTTAAGCATTTATGTGCTTTTGAAAACCAGTTAAATGACAACATTTGGATGCCAAAATCCTGGTTTTGGTGCGTTTGTTTTAGATATCTCTGTCTGGAAATTTTAAACCTGCACTCTGTTCTGCTCTGAGAGATCTGGTCAGCATGGCCACAGCTGAACATTTGCTAGTGCTAGGAAGATGGTTTTGTTCTGCTGCGCTGGCTGTCAGAGGTTAGGACTTCCTTAGGAGAATCTGGTGGTGAGTTGTGAGCTGCTAAGGCAGGGCTCCCTAATGATGGGTTTGCGCTGGGTCCTGCGAGAGGCCCAGAGTGACCTGGTAGTCCTGCACCGGGGCGCTGCTGCCGGGTTGCAGCAAATGATCAGTTTAGGCCATGCCGAATGTGCCACTGCAGCTGGTCTTCCAGCTAGCTGGGTTCATCTGCAGTATGTGGTTGTGAATAGAGGGCAGACAGAGAGTATGTCTTGAGTTTTGTTGGTATTCATGCACCCACCCAATTTCCAGTGATTTGCATCACCGTGCAGAGGCCCTTCGCTGTAGCACTTTGCTCCTGGGTTGGCCGGTGGTTCAGCA